ACACGTCAATTATATCTTGACTGATTATCTGATTACGAGAAGATGAGTGCTTTCGAGAGTGACGATTTTTAGATTCCTTTAAATACTGGAAAAATTTTCAAATAAATCAAATAAAACACAGTTTCCAAGCCTCACAAACTCCAACCTTTACTAAACAAATCAGATATGCCAACCAAATATGTCAACCAAAGTTGTAAACATTTAGAAAATTTTACAATCCTGAAAAAGGAAAAATTCGAAAGAAAATGTCAACATAAACACATGTACCACTTTCAAGAAACTTGTAAAGAAATAATTTTTCAGAAAAGTCATTTAAGATATTTGAAGCAGGAACAGATAGAATCTCTTATATAAATGATGAATTTATTCATTCATCTTTAGTCTCTTGTACTGATATGTTACTAAGCAGAGTAGCTTTATTGCAACCTATGAAAGAAGATCAGGAATAAAGAAAACTGCAATATTAGTACCAGCAATACTGTTACTACCTAATATCAGTATTTAAAATCATTTCCTGCATTATTTACGACGGAAATTATGGAAACCAAGCGAATAGATGAGAAAGTTATGCCAATCGAAAGTGTGCTAATGCTTACATGTTAGTCGTATAAACCTATATTCAAGTTATAAAATATCGTTAATGGTCCTATTTCAAACATTTTAATGAAAAATAGCAACAATCGTTAAATCGCCAACATTTGTAATTTCACAATCGTTAAACACATTTTAAAACAACTTTTTAGCTGTAGTACAGCACTGGGGTCTTGCAGTGACTTTCCGTAATCTATCCTGGTTGGCAGAACTTTTGCGCAATTCATACTCGGGTAGGTAAGTGGGGAAAGGGTTCCATTACGTAAGGGTTGTATTAGGCCAGGGTAGGCATGTCGATAGGCTAGTTTCAGTTTTGAAAAATTTTGATGCTGAAAAGTAAGTGAACTGGATCGACCGAATTTAACAGGTAAGATGGATGAGCCTTACCTGCGGAAGCCACGCATTGTCTACCGGACCGGCGTGCCCAATCCCTTGACGCTCGATCAGTACAGCGCTGTTCTTGGTAAGTCCACGTTTTACCCATCGGGTAAGTCCACGTTTTACCTTCGTCCAAGCTCGGAAGAATGGTTTGCACCGTGCTGGAAATGAGCTCTCTCTGGTTGATGCCGTTTTTTACCCAGGGAAAAGTCTTGGCGATAACTGTGAGCAGTGATCGCATGGAAAGGGATGCACATACAAAGGCATCCCATAGATAGACCGGGATCGTTAAATGAAGTTGCTCATATGCCAAGGTTTGCGACAAAATTGCATGGCAAAAGCTGAAGGTTTCCAATCAGCCAAAATCTCTAAATAAATAATGCTAAATAAAGTTTTGATGATGATGCATGAAAGGAACAGTTCTTAGAATGAATTTAAATGCTGATTTGCTAAAACAGCCGGTTTATTCAGTGTTGTAAAATATACGGAATTGACAGAATAGAAATGACAACACAAAGACAACTGGTGAAATAAGTTTATGATCTGGGCTGTTGAGCGTAGGCTTGATTTGCCCGTCATGATGCATCAGTAGTTTGAATCAAAAACAGGACTCGGTGTTTGAACTTATCAAACTTGCTGAACTTGTCTGAATTAAGTTGAAAGCTTTATTATGTCGTGTGAGGGGAGAGCTTCCCGAAACACTGAAAGGATGCATTTGTTTTCAAAAAAACATTATTTTTAAAAGCAGTCTCTGTGATCTCGATCTGATTAGATGATTATTTAGTGAAATTTATCGAAAATAGAATTAAAGTCATTGGTAATTTGTATTATCTCCCTTACTAATCGGTAAATATTTAAATGATCTCCATAAATTGTACTAAAACTCCCGAAATGTTCCAAATAGAGGTTTTTTTCCCTATCACTGATCCTTTGAATGGAGTGATCTGATTGTTCTGATGTTCTGTACTTGGCGTGATTCATTTGCGTTTCTTTATTCGCTCCTGGGAATTGCGGATACAACAGTCAGATAAGATTTAATGCTTATTAGATATTCCATGAATAATGATTTGCCATTCCATTTCTTCACATAGCTATTTTTTTCGTTACAGATAAAGTTGAAAAAAATCGAAATTTGGTATGTACCAATGGACCAATGTATCGACCAGACGGTGGTACCATTGTGGTATATGATTGTACTCTCTATCCACGTGGTACCTTGAATGATGACCAAGTACGACGTACTTTTCGTGTTGATGGTTACCGATGGGGAAATTCCAAGGGTGTTCACAATTTGAGCAACGGATTGCAAAAACGATATAATTTACTTTACTGCAAAAATGATCCACATGGCGACGATAGATTTATGTAAGTATGATCTTTACTTATGCTTCTGCATTTTATCTTTTTTAGTTCAGGAGGAATTTAATAATGACAGTAGATTAATTGATGATCGGTTTTTTTTTTCTTGAGACTCCTCGATTAAGCTATAAACTTCCACTCATTTTTCAACGATGGAATTCCATTTGTCTTTTTGAATCTCAGATGATACTTCATAGACTAGCTTTTTATTTGCTACATATCTATCTTTTTATTTGCACACATAAGTTTCGTTATTTCAATATATAATGGATAAAATGTATTTTTTTAGTATTTAAATATTCGGCTCTTTATTTGTTTTTTTAATTTGATTTAACAATTGTGTGTATGGACTGTATATATGAACTACTCCTGAGATCCATACTCCGGTCCACTCAGTTGAGCAGATCATTAGAAAAAAAGGAATTTTAAGTTAACCAGAATTTGCAGACGTTGCGAATATTCTCGAGAGCCATGTGGTTTGGTGCTTTTCCATTACATTGGCGACCACGTCGCAGCAGCTCAAGTGTCTGACAATGCACCACATGGAAATGCCAAACGAACTAATCAGCCATTTCTTCGTACATTACCAATTATATTACAAGAAGTGAAAGAACAGAGCATCACAAACAATAATGCGGTTGAGGTAAGTTTGAAAATTGTAATCTAAGAGAATCGGGTTAACTTGTTTCGATGGTACTATTCACTGGGATTATAAGAAATGCTGTATCTCCTGGATTTTAACCCCAATACGACAGTACATGTCGTTGTTGCTCTCGCCATTTGAATTATGGAATTTTTTGGAAACAACTGGTAGTCTTTTTATTGTATATTACTTATCATGTGAGATAAAGGGAACATCAAAAACAATTATAATTCCATAACTGCAATAGGTCCGGGCTAATGCAGGAAAACTAATTCATGTGATTTTGACCCCTTGATTTCTGTTAATTTAACTATTCCTCAGCTAATTTTGCATTAATTAATGCTTAATTATTGTGTTTAGTTCATTAATAGTCTGAAATGAAATTGAACATTGAAAATTTCAAATATATTGTTAAGAGGCGATTGTAAATTCAATTTTCATTAGGATTTTCGAATAGTTTCAAAGTAGAGATTTTCAATTTTTGACTTTCTCCTGAGTTCCAAAATGCTTCTATTTTAGATTTATGATCGATTGATGGAACAAAGTATTTATGATCAGTGCTCGAGTAGCTCGCGAGTTACTCCACGGAGATTACGTAACAAGGAACAAGTGAGAAATGTAATGAAATCATTTCGACAGAAGTTGGCCAGGAATAGCTTGGTTAGTAAAGATTTTGAATTTATTATTCGAGTTTATATTTGAGATTTAAATTTATCTCACTCAGCATTATTATTTTTGTTACTATAAAACTTAACATTCTTTATCATCGATAACTTGTTTCTATTTCATTTGGAAAATAGAGGTATGATTTAAAAAGTGTCAAAATGACTAACGGAATCAAGTTACGCTGTTTTAATTTTTTACTTGCGGATATTCTCTGCTACCACCGTCTTACGAATTTGAATGATCCTGTATTCATCCTTAAGCTTAAGAGAATTTGGTCTGTTCTGTTTATTGGTGGCATGCTTAGGATTGGTTTCTCTTTGCTATTTTTTTATCTGATTGTGTCTGAAGTCGGCTAATTTTTTATTAATTGTTTTTGCAGACTTTTTTTTAAATGTATATTTTTTTGAGTATAGCATGCATTAAAAACTTTATTTATACTTCACATTTCGGTATGAAGAATAATTTGTTGCTTACTTCATTTTCATACAAGAAATGATTTGTTTATTAAAAAAATAAAATTGTGTTAGAAACAGTTAGTAGATATTTACTGCTTCTAACCACTATTCGTAATTTTCTCTTAGAATTTATGTAATGAGATGAAGTCACGTTTTATAGGACCAGGCTTTTTTGTTTTACAGTACATCCAGCCTCGACCAACGTCCCTGTATGTTACGGAACAAGAAGCATCAGCGCTTGGAAGACGTGTTTTGCGGAGATCGAACGCAGAGTTAGATAGAAATCAAGTGGAGGTTGTTGAAGGCGGTGTTTTCGAACGGATGCCGGACGGTCAAACACCTGTCGTATTGAAAAAAGCTCGAACTGAAGATGACTCGGAGTCGAGCTATGCGCCAATTGATGTGACAACGGTTGATGTAAGTTAAGGCTTTTAAAGTTTTTGGTTTTAATAAATCACACATTTTGTATGCATGAATGAAAACGATAATCAATTTTATTATGGCGAAGCAAATAATGAAATGAGATGAGTATATTGTTCTTAACTTATCATTAATTTCTCAATTTCCAGACTCAAAACATAAAAACAAGAGCACCTTACGGACCAGATCATTCGTTCGTTCGACAAGGCGGTAAATTTCATCTTTTGGTTGGTATTACTGGATCAGTCGCATCAATCAAACTTTCTGAACTTATAACGGAACTTCATAAAAATAGTCCTGAAGAAAAATTGGTATGTTTATGTGCAGCAATTCATATGGGAATCTTTGAGTCCTCAAAAGTAACGAAAATACCAAAACTGTGTATAGAATCATCTTGTTATTGTTTTATGTGAATTTGTCAAGGTCATTCGAATAGTTGCAACTGATGCCGCTCGAACATTTATTGATGAATCATCATTTGATGTTCCCATTTACACTGATTTGGATGAGTGGAACATGTGGAAAAAACGTGGTGACCCAGTTCTACATATTGGTCAGTTTTTATGGAAATTGACTATAAAAACTGTCAGTGAGCGATTAGTAGTATGACAGGATATTCTACAAATGTATGGGTCACGAACAAAACTAACGTTGTTGACTGCCAGATTATTGAATATACTTCATTCTTCTTTAAATTGCCACTGATTTCAGCGGTTTTTAATTGATTGACCAACAAACAGCAGTATTTTTTGACTTCGTTTTCAGCGTTTATTTGTTATTGCCTCTATACATTTAAAAATTCTTTTCTCTTTTGATAAACTCTTTTGATAAATTTAACTTTGTATTTCCTTGAAGTTCTGGCTTAAATGAGATTTTTTCAAAATAACTTTTCGAAATTTATATTTTCAGAATTAAGAAAATGGTCAGATGCGATGTTAATTGCACCATTAGATGCAAATTCGATGGGTAAAATAGCGAATGGCATATGTGATAACATTTTACTATCCATCGTACGCGCATGGGATCCTCGAAAACCTTTATACTATGCACCAGCAATGAATGTTGCCATGTGGGAAAATCCGCTAACGTATCAGCATCGTAAAGTCTTGAAGGAATTGTTACGATATAAGGTTGTGTATTTCCTAATGATTCTTCATTTCTTAACAGAATTATTTCGAATTTTCAGTTCTAATTGCAAGTGCAATGTTTCACCAAAATATTCGGAAAAAAAATATAATTGATATATTATCTTTTGTTTTTCAAGCTCTATTAAAAAATGTAAAATGAGTACGAATATCGACGGTTGCATCCAGAAAGAGTTGATTACTTGCGGATAGTTGATATACCACTGGTCTATTATTTTGAATCTCAAAGAAATAGATCAGCTCATAAAGGCGTTTTTTAACCGTCGTCAGATTTTCATTGGATGCTCAATTGCATTAATCCGATTTTTTTTTCCAGGAAATACCGCCAATTGAAAAAGAATTAATGTGTGGTGATACTGGCTCAGGCGCTATGGCAACTGTGCAGATGATAGCATCAATTGTCGCCAGCGAGGTGAAGAATCGTTTCGCCGTTTACTCTGATAATTCGTCTTTATAACATCTTCCGATTTGTCTATCGCTCTCTCCCTCTCTCTTTCTCTCCGTCTGCTTCGAAATCTATTGTCGTTTCATTATTGATTATTTGAATGACTTTGATTGATTTTGTACAGTTTGCAAAAATTTCGAAACTACTTTATATGTTTTTGCCAGCTGCAGATTGACATGAAATGCTTCGTGACCGATTCCATCGGCCTCCTTCTAGGAAGTTATGTACTCTTTTTTTTCCGACATGTGCTTGTTCCCGACGGGGAATACAAAAAAGCTGGAAAATCTTTGTTCTTATTACTTCCATTGTTCTTATTATTTTCAAAGTCCTCTGCTGTTAAAAGTTCTTGAAAAAAATCTCTGCTTCAAGAAAAAAAAATATTTGAAAGAAGAAATTATTGGAATAAATTTTGTAAGACCAAAATTCACTTTTCAAATTAGAAAGTTTGTTATATTGCTTTCTTATTTTGTTTCTGGCGTATTGTAGAATTTTTTCTTGCTCTTTTTTAAATTTCTATTGTAAATTTTTATCGTTTGAGCCATCGGAAGAGATTTTGGATACTGTTTTACTTGATAGTTTTGCATGATTTGATTGTATTTTTTGCACTCTTTTTAATCTGAACGAAATTCAGCTTAGGAAAGGCTGAGGTTTGAATTTTTCATTTTTCTTTTTAAATAAAGATTGTGAATCACGTCCTTGTTTTGCGCATATCAGTTAAGACAGTTAAGATTTAGAGTATTTGAAGTTATATGGATGTTGGCAGCCAATTAATCAAGAACTGGAAAATCGTAAAGCAGTGAACGATTTGTATTTGCGAAATATTAGTTTTTCCCTCGAGATTGAATATTCATTTGAGAATTATGGTTGCCCGAGGTCAGTTGCATACGGGGTTATTCTAGTTAGTGCTTGGCTGGAAGGTTTTTTTTTTGTTCCAACAATGTTTTATATATGGAGTAAAAAGTGCTTAAGTGTTATAGCATGGAATCTGATAGTTCAGTTTGGATTTTTAATGACTTCAAGCAATTACTGTTAAGGTAAATAATTCTTGAGATCTTTAGCGGAGGTCATTTCTATGGGAAAAGATTTGCTAAAGAAATTATGGGAAAATTCGCACATTTCTTGTTGGAAAGTTATTTCCAAGCGATTTTTTTTTGTATGTTTTTTTTTCCCAAAAAGATGTGGATATTTGGTTACGGTTCGCTACTGTGGTATACAGATTTCCCATATCGGAACGTTATTCCCGGTGTTGTACGAGGTTATTCACGTCGATTCTGGCAGCTTAGTCCCGACCATAGAGGCACAGCGAGTAGTGTTGGTTCTTTTTTCATCTGTGGGTAAGAGATGATAGCAAACACTGTACCTTTGTGATATTAAAAGGTATGCATTGATGTCTCGATGATGAAGCTAATTGTGTTCTGATGTTATGTTTTACTCGATAAAGGGTTCTCATTCATTCATTCTTTTTTTCAAGAAATTGAGATGGTTTTAAAATAAGTTGATAGTTTTATTGAAGTTATCATTTCTTGCAGTCTTTTTTTGTAATAGAACAAATAAGTATTTTTTGAAAAAAAAAACGAAAAAAATAAGTATTTGCAGCCCGGTCGTACAGTGACATTAGTAGCAGATGAAAATGGTTCATGCTGGGGGTTAGCTTATGAAGTTGCTGAGGAGCAAGCATCGGATACAATCAAATATTTGGATTTACGAGAAAAGGCTGGCTATTTGGTGAATTTGTGTTTGATGAAGTTAAATTTGTTTTTTTATTAAAAAGTTTTACTTTTGTTCGCAATTCAGAAGTCTTCATATATTGCTTAACTAAAAGAATGGCGATTATTTGTTTTGTTATGTTTCCATCAATTAAATTCTGTCATTTTCAGAGAAAAGAAGTGATGTTTTATCCCGACAATGGTAGTTCATTTTTTCCAATAAATGTTTATTTGGCTGCTGAAGGAGAGAATCCCTATTTTACAGGTCCCACTGATGAAAAAAGCATTGTTTGTACCGTAAGTCATTGTCTCTTTCCTGGTTATTGGTTGTTCTTGTATGATTCTGTATGGTAAACTATTGCCACTTGCAAGAAAATTAGAAGTCACAATCAGAAATAAGGGAAATGCGAACAAAATGAGATTTTGTTTTTTTCTTCTTTTTTTGAGGGAAGGAAGAATTTTATTTATTTTTAACATAAGACTTGTGTTTCATATTTTAACCCTCAATATTCCAAGTTTTTTTTTGTATTTTTTATAAGTTAAATTTCATTCTAAATCTTTTTTATTTTCATCCATAAATTTTATTTTCATCCAAAGTAAATAATCAGAAAATAATTTTACGCATTTTATACTTTTTTCCCGCAATATAAATAAATTTTAAGATACTTAAAGCTCGTGGACTAAGTGGTACGAACATTGAATATGTATTACGATTAGCAGAATGCGTGCATCGAATGGCACCGCATATTAACGATGAACATCTGTTTACGATTGAAAAAAAAGTTTTAGATGAATGTCGTCAGTTGAACATTCAGGATGATTACTTGACTAAATATTTGAATCAAAAACGTCTAAATTAATCGCTCAATAAACTGTAAACTGACAATATAGGAAAGATTGTAATAATGTAATCCTTCGGATGCTCTTTATTTTGGGAAAAATCAGATGTATTGTTAATTTTTTTATCGGTTGTTTGATTTTAAAAATTGAGAGTTAGACTTTACTTTAAAAATGGTTTTTCGACTTCCAAATATTTTTCGAAAATGCGGAAAAAGGAAATAATTATTATACGTCGGATACTATTGTTATCTGAACTTATGAAGCTATTTCTGTTCAAGAATGATAATATCTTAATTACATGATCGTATTCTTCTATGTTGAAATTGTGGTTATTGAAAGCAATTAATTATGTAACTATGCATACAACTGATCTTAATCCTCCCGAATGAGTAAATTTAATTTTAATATTTGTGTGACAAGAGCAAATATTGTGTATTTTGGAAAAAGGATACATCATCAGCATGGATTTTTATTGGATCGAAATTTAATCAAAATTTTATGAATTAACCAGGAAAGACAGCTTATCCTTATTTTCCACTCCTACTTATTTGGTGTTAATCTATTCTTTATAAATCTAGCCAAAAATGCAAACGAAAAATTTCTTTATTATTTTGTCACTAATATTTTAATCATATTATAGAATATCATTCCCACTGTGATTTCTGTTTTTTTGTATTTTATATTTCACCCAGTTCATTCATGCTCTTATCATTAGAAGCCATATCATGAAAAGCTATATTCGTCCTTATATTGTATAATAAAATAGTATTTCGAAACTTTATGCAACTTTTTTTTGAACTCCTGTTTATTTGATTTTAGAGAATTTAGAAATATTAACAAAATCTTTGAGGCTTTCAATAAATCTGGAAAGTACACATGAAGATGAATTTTTGAATTAATTTTTCAATGGAAGCATTGTAATTTGTATTTTTATATAATATTTGTTTTATATATAATATTTTTATTAACCTTTCTAAAATTTAATCTGATAATAGTTTGCTTGCGAATAAATACGAAAGAGTGAAAATTATATTTAATTGCGGAAGCAATTATCTTTAGCTTCAACATTAAATGTCATTTTTAAGTTTCTGTACTGTTTGACGTACACCTTCATTCTTTAGTCATTTAAAATTTCAATATTGTTTTGCTGAGTAATCTGTTTCGAATTGCTTCGTAACCGTTAAATAATATGTAAATTTTTGTGCTTATTATTTAATTGAAATACATCAAAAACTTGAAAATATTTCGAAAAGAAAATTGTTTTTGCACTTTCTAAAACTCTTAATTATTTTTAATCAGGCTTACATCTTATCACAAGAGATTAATCTTTTACGAAAAGTTTCTGACATGTGTGAATCATACGTATGTCCAATTTCAGAGCATTTCCTGCGAACGCAAAATCATATTGAATATTTGAAAATGTTATCATCTTTTTATTATGAAATGTTATTTCGATGTAAATAGAATTATTATTCAGGTATAAGTTTCAAATTCTTTCATTTTCTTCGTCTAAAATTTTCACGCATTTGACCCATTTATTATTTCATGACAATTTTGTTAAATTATTTTTATGAGTTCATTTGTATGACTTATTTCACTTATTATGTTACGTAAAAAAAAATATAATCGAAAGAAAATGAGAGAAATATTTTAATTTTGTCAAGTAAAAATTATGTTAAGTTTATGTTAAGTAAAAAAAATAAT